TGATTTGACAAACGAGCATGGAGTAACAATTTTTGCTCTGCACAAAGAGATTAATCTGCTAGTTCAAGGTTCGATAGTGTAGCTACATATTACTCAAAGCTAAGCCGGCTATGGGACCAATATGATTCACTAATTCCCACATTAACAAGTATATGTCCAAGTCGTAGCAATGAAGTTACTCGGCCATTTCTTGAATATACTCAACAACACAAGATGATGTAGTTTTTAATGGGATTAAATGAACAATATCGAGTCGTGAGATCATAAATCTTGCTAATGAATCTCATGCCCATACATTTACAAGCTTATTCGATGATCTCAAATGAGGAATCACAAAGGGGAATTACTCTACATCGGGACATGCCTTCGCTTTTTACTCGCCGGAAAGAGCACTTAATATCACATAAAGCGGTCTAATGACAAAAACTCTTGGCGCAAGGAAGTGAGTTGTGATTATTGTCATACTCCATATCATACCAAAGACAATTGTTACAAATTACATGGATATCCAAATGCACCTAGGAGATTTTTTGGAATCACATAGGTAGACAAAATGGCAACGCATCTAGTTCCGTTGGAGATAGAAAAAAGTTATACGAGTGCTCACAATACAAGATAAGTGGGTTAAGATGCTTTACACTCGCGTTTGAGGACCACCATTCCGGTTTACAATCAACATCTACTCCCATATTTTTCCAATCACAATACCAACGAGATATTAGAATTACTCGTCAAAAAATGTGTCATCAAAAAGGAGCCCTCCCGGTATTGAGCAGTACCGCAAACATGGCGAGTGAATTTTTTTATAGTCTTGTTGATGTTATATCTACTGCTGGTGAATGGATAATTGACACAAGAGCTAATGTTCACATGACTAGCTCACTCAATTGCTTGAAATATCCTAGGAAATTAGCTTCGTACTACACTCGTTATATTACCTAATGGCACTAAGAATCGGGTTTCTCATATCAATTCCGTTTTCTTTTCATATATGACTCTTCGGGATGTCTTATACATCCCCGACTTCAAGTTTAATTTTTTGTTAGTAGCCAAATTTACTACTAATAACAGCTTGTTTTACTTCTTTCTATCCTCATTTCTGCCTATTTCAAGACCTCACAACTCGGGAAGACAAAGGGGATTGGTAGAGTCCAAGATGGTCTTTATCATGTCATGTCGGACTTATTTATTCCAATTTCTAATTCAACCATATCCAATTATACATTTTCTCATTTTCATTCCGCTTGTGTAAATAATTTCTTTCCAAACTTCTTGTCATACGGTTGTATGTAATTCTTTATATACATCCGACAATATAACCCTTTGGCATAAACGTTTTGGTCACATTTCTCTTTCTCTTCTTCAAATGATTCCTAGTTTGTCAACCTCAAATTCCGATCCGATATGTGATATATGTCCTCTTTCTAAACAAACAAGAATACCTTTTTCATTTAGTACTTCTATTTCTAAGAATATCTTTGATCTTATTCATGTTGATATATGGGGTCCCTACAAACATCCCACCTATACTCAAGAGAAATATTTTCTATCCATTGTTGATGACCTTTCTAAAGGGGCATGGACATTTCTCATACAAACCAAGTCCCAAGTTTTCCCATTACTTTAACACTTTTATGCCATGATCCTTACTCGGTTTTCTGTCTCATTAAGAGAATCGGATCGGATAGGGGTTCGGAATTTATACAAACCTTCGTCAAACATTTTTTTCCTCCAAAGGTATTATCCATGAAACTACTATCCCTTATACTCCACAACAGAATGGTGTTGTGGAGAAAAAACATAGACATATCTTAAATATAACCCGAGCTCTCATGTTCCAATCTCATTTACCTATTCGGTATTGGGGTGATTGTGTTTTGACATCTACCTATCTCATCAACCGAACACCTACCCCACTATTACATGGGAAAACCCCTTTTGAAACCTTATTCCACAAACCTCCCTCCTTTGATCATCTAAGGGTTTTTGGATACCTTTGTTATGCCAAAGTTCTACTCGTGCTCACAAATTTGCTCCTCGTTCTAAAGCTTGTTTGTTCTTAGGATATCCCTACTCTTAAAAAGGATATAAAGTCATGGATTTGCGGACACATCAAATATTTGTGTGTCGTGATGTTCTTTTTCATGAGTTTATATTTCCCTATACCACTTCCTTGATTTCCCCTTTTTTTCTCCTCTTCGATCTCTTTCTTCCCTTCCTACTCCTATCTATGACTAGCCATATGATGATGGTTCATTCCAAAATCACATATCCCTTTCTCATTCTCCTCGCCACTACGTTGGATCCCATTGTACCTTTGTCCTCACCCTCTACTTCTTCTTCTACCACTACTTCTTCTCCACATCCTCTACCTCCGAGTCATCCTCTAAGAAAATCTTCCAGTACCTACTAAACATCCAGCTTGGTCTCATCATTATCTTTGTCCTACATTGCCTCAATCCAACTCTATTTCTTTTTCCTCTACTACCAAACATTCCATTTCGGACTCCTTTTCTCTTACATCTATATCCCATTCTCATGCAGCCTTTTCTTGCTTCTATTTTTCCTCTTCGAGAGCTTGAGTCCTATTTAGAGGCCATTAAGTATCCATAGTTGGTTGAGGCTAAGACCAAGGAACTTCAAGCACTTGACTTGAATAGAACATAGGTGCTAGTTCCATTGCCTTCGTACACAAACCCATAGGTTGTAAATGGGTATACAAGATCAAGTTTAATTCCAATAGGAGTATAGAAAGGTATAAAGCTAGGTTAGTGGTTAAAGGGTATAATTAACAAGAGGGTATTGATTATGGAGAAACCTTTTCTCCAAGTGGTGAAAATGGTTACGGTGAGGATTGTCATTGCCTTGGTCGCCATTCATGACTAGTCTATTTTCCAACTCAATGCTACTAATGCTTTTTTATAGGGTGATTTACATGAGGAAGTGTATATGGCTTTACCTCCTAGACTTGGCAATCGGAGGGAGAATGTTGTATATCGATTACTCAAGTCTCTCTATGGGTTAAAACAAGCCTCACGACAGTGGAACTCCAAGTTCATTGAGAAAATAATTATAGCGAGGCTTTTTTCAATCCAAACATGACTATTCCATGTTCATAAAACACACATAAGGTAAAAGGGTTATTCTATTGGTATATATTGATGATATCTTAATTACAAGAGATGATGTAGAAGGGATAGTTAAGTCGAAGCAATTTTTACATGATACCTTTTATATTAAAGACTTAGGATGCTTGAAATATTTTTTAGGAATTGAAGTTGCTAGATCAAAGAAAGGGATTTGTTTGAACCAAAGGAAGTACACGATGGAATTGCTATAAGATGTAGGTCTACTTGGTACAAAACCGATGGAAATGCCTCTAGAGCATAATTTAAAGCTCACTATTGTCCGATATAATAAAGGTATTCAAGGTAGCTATCCGGATGAGATACTAACCGAGTCCTACCGAATATCATAGGCTAATTGGGAAATTAATCTACTTGATAGTAACAAGACTAAATATTTGTTATGCTCGTCCGGATTCTCGACCAGTTCATGCATCAACCAAAGTTGTCTCAAATACAATCCGCTCTAAGGATACTTAAGTATTTGAAAGGAAGTCCGAGTTTGGGCATTCTGCTGTCATCTTCCAATGATATGAAACTTAAGGTCTTTTGTGACTCGGATTAGGCAACTTATCCTATGACAAAGAAGTCATTGATAGGATTTTATGTATTTCTTGGCAACTCATTCATTGTCATGGGAAAAAAATAAAACACTATCTCTCCATCTTCACTGAAGCGAATATAGGGCAATGGCTTTAGCTACTCGCAAAATAGCATGGTTAATTGGAATGTTGAAGGAACTGAATTACACGGACTTACGACTAGCAGAGGTCACTTGTGATAATCGAATTGTTATACATATTGCTTCGAATCCGATCTTTCACGAAAGAACCAAACATATAGAGATCGATTACCACTTGGTTCGTGAAAATATAAAAGAAGGATTAATCAAGACTAATTTTGTCAAGACTAGAAATCAACTTGTTTATATATTTACCAAAAGTCTTGGTAGCAAGCAACACTAATTTCTCATGAACAAGTTGGGGGTTTATGATTTGTATAAACCACCAACTTAAGGGGAGTATTAGAAGGATTAAATGTAATCTTATCCAGTTGTACATGTTGGTTAAGTAGTTAGAGGAAGTTAGCTAATCGGTTAGTGTTAGTTAAACATGAGGTTTGTTAAATGAGAAGCGAGAGGAACATGACCCTTGTTGTATATATACCGTAATATGCTTGTACAGTTCATTCATTCATATTCAAAAAGCTTTTTCCCCTAATTTCTCTCCAGTTAACAATAAATATATATATCCACACAAAGCCGGGATGTACATAAATGTGATGATGAAAAAATCTCAATACGATTTAAGAACGTACAAAGTTTTTTTTATTATTGATTAGTATATATACACGACTCTTTTATATGGATAATTATTACCGGTAATATATACATATAGCCATGCAAAGCCGGGATGTACATAAATGTGATGATAAAAAAATCTCAATACGATTTAAGCACGCATTAAGTTTTTTTTTTTGTTATTTGTTAGTATATATACACAACTCTTTAAAATATCGAAGAATTATTGGTATAGACACGGATAAAATACTTAAAAATCACCAAAGAGACATATATAATCATAAAATAAAACTAAAAATCTTATAGCTTTTTTGGGTTAGATAAAAGATCCTAACTTCAAAACTCATAATCCTAACTCCTAAAATAAAAATAAAATAAAATTACCCGTGGAAACATTTAATTCTAAACCAAAAACTTGAAACTAAAAAGGAACGACGATCGAGCGGCAATAACGATTTGATGTTGACCGAAGAGTAGTGCTCACCGTGAAGAATCACTCTCGTAACTCAATGGCAAGCCGATATGGCAAGAAGCTATCCGAGGCAATGAAGATTATTTGATCCGTTGTGAGAGGAATGGCCCCAAGGTTGCTCTCACGAATGACGAAAGGCACATCATATAAGGATTCCTTCCATTCATTATGTGTCATGTGTAAAAAATTTTCCATATGGGATAAAAGCAACCCGGATAAATTTAAAAAAAAAAAACCCTTCATCTTCTATTTCCTCCTTCCTCCCCCGTCTCTTTCTCCATAAATAAGTTTACTAATAAATAAATCATTGCCTTAAGCAATGAAAACAAGTGCCTAGTAAAGTGGAGTACCTTTTTCCATTATAAAAATGAACCGAGTTGATAAATATTTCTTTATCTCAAATTCCAAACCCGTAAAAGACAAGTGTCCGGCCAAAGCACTACCTTAGTACTTTTCAATCTTTCGAGAGATCATACATTGCAAAAGCCAATCACCAAAAGTCCATGTTGTATCCAATTTAAAGACTCGTGTATGTATTTTGATTTTTAAGGATTGAAAGAATTACTACTTCAAGCGAGTGCCTTTGAGCATGAAGGAGGAGATTGTAAATTGAAAATGGAAGATTCTTACAACGAAACTTATGGTAGAGTTCATAGATATATTTTTAATTGGTTAAATTTGAAATTATTTAATTTATAGATTTTTTTCTTGCCTTGTTTTTTTTTCTTATGTAGATATATGCTCGAAGTTAATGTTGATGATGTGATCATAGAGGAGAATGCTCTTTATGTCAACCGAAGTCACAATGAGTATGATAATTTGATAGAAAAAGTATTCAACAATGAGGAAGAGACATATAATTTTTATAATGAGTATGCTATTGGAACGGGTTTCGGTGTTAGACGTTCTAAGCCGAGATATAGCGATAGAAAGTCTCATGCAATTTTCCAAAGGGAGTTTCGATGTTCCAAAGCTCATAAAGTTGAAAAAAACCCCTCTCAACAAATCGGTGTAATAGATTTGAAACAAAAAGTGATTGTGATCGGATTAACAATTAAAGATGGTTTGTGGGTTATCACACATTTTGTCTCAATACATAATCATGAACTAGCTTCACCTTCGAAGCTCACCTATTAAGATCAAATAGAGCATTAACAACTCCAAAGGCTAATGTTATTAGCACAATGGTTAATGCTCGGTATAAGAACGAGGGATGCTTTTGCTTATATGGAAAGAGAAGTTAGGGGTAGTGAGTACCTTGGGTTTACTAAGAGAGATTGTTATAACTTTTTTAGTAAAGAAAAAATAAAGTTGATTGAGCCTAGTGATGCACAAAACTTAATTAATCATTTAAAAAAGAAGCAGAGTGAAGATTCGATGTTTTCTTATGATGTGCAAGTGGATCAAAAAAATAGAATGACAATTTCTTTTGGAGGGATGGGAAGTCATTCATTGATTATGATTATTTAGGTGATGTTGTTGTTTTTGACACAACGTATCGCACAAAAAAATATGACTTAGTGTGTGATCCATTTATTGGTTTTAATCATCAATGGCAAAATATCATGTTTAGATGTGCATTTTTATTGGATAAAACCGAATCTTCTTTTACTTGGTTATTCAAGTCATTCTTGGATTCTATGGGAGCGAAATCACCAGTTGTCATTTTTATTGATCAAGACCAAACAATGGCTAATGCGATTAAAACTGTTTTTCCTAATACTTGTCATCGGCTTTGTTTATGGCACATTGTGACTAAGAATGCTCCAAACTCTCTTGGTGGCCTCGAATTCAAATCCCGATTTTCAAAATTTGTTTCATAAGTGCTTGAAAGGTTGTGAATCCGAAACCGAGTTCGAACAAACTTGGGAGAAAATGTTAGATGCCTTTGATCTTAGAGAACACAAATGGTTGAAGCAATTATATGAGAAACGCGAAACTAGAGCACCATTTGGTCTAATGATTTCTTTTCAGCTGGATTTCTATCATCGCAACCGAATGAAAGCACTAACAATGTTTTGAGAGATGTGGCAAACAAAACTACTTCACTTAAGGAATTTGTTAAATCATTTAAGGAAATTGTTAAGAGATGGCATTCTTTTAAGGCTCAAGAGGATTTTCATTATCAAGCAAAGTAGGCCTCCTCTAGTAATTAGAGGTAGTGGGATTTTAAACCATGCAGCAAATTTTTATACTTATAAACTTTTCAAATTATTTGAGGAGGAGTTCAAGAATGCCATAGGAAAATTTTGGTCAAAACTATCTTCCGATGGTGGTGTTTATGAATTTGAGTTTTAAGGAATGGATGACTTAAGGATCCATCATGTAAAGTTGGATACATCCACTATGGAGATAAGTTGTTCTTGGAACAAATTTGAGTCTATGGGTTTGTTATGTCATCATGCATTGAAGATCTTGATCATTAAGAACTTTGACAAAATTCCAAATAAATATGTGTAACTAGATGGTGTAAAAATGCAAGAAATAGATGGTTAGAAGAGGGGACGCATAATGCTAGTATGGATGGTAAGAATGATGATTATGAGATGGTTTATCGAAATAACATGATGCGGAATGCTTACAATATCATCTTGAAGAGTCAAGGAAACGTAAAAGCAAGAGAGATTGTTCAAGATGGACTAAAGAAAATTGATAAAGATATTGAGAATGAATTGGCCAAATTGAGCATTTCTTTAGATGGTCAAGAAATGGAAAATGAAATGGATGATGGGCAAAATGTAGAAAAGACACTTGATGTTAATCCTATCTTGAACCCCCTCGTGCAATGACCAAAGGTGTCTCCAATGCAAGATTCAAAGGATACTTAGAAAAATCCAAGAAAAAGGCAAAGACAAAAGCAAAAGCAACAATCACAAGTTTGCAAAATAAAAAATGAGATTTGTCACTTTTAGTATGAATACCTTCTAACTTATAGTTTCATTTTCATTATAGATGTATATAATAATATATCTAGATTATTATCCTTTTCAATTGTAGAGAAAAATAGAGGTAAAAATTCTCAATGCAAAGTTCCTACAAGGCAAAAAACAAATGATCAAGATGAGGTACTCTTTTAATCCATTACCATATTTCTTACATGAAGTTTTTATGATATTTATAATTTATTATATATTCTTGTCTAGTCGGGATCCTTTCCAAGTATGAGCACACATAACATTCATAATTTTCAATATCATCTTGCAAGTTCGATGCAAATTTCATACCACCAAGTACCACCACATATGCATATGTTAAGTCAAGTTTGTGCCTCCTTCCGGGTATACACAATCTTTAAATTTTTATTATACTACATTTATTTTTTATTTTATTTTTAAGCTAATTAAAACTCGTTATTTATATTAGTATTGGAATATGGGAGGTTCAAACATGCCATTTACTACAATGTTACAAGGTGTTGAGGCTATAGTACATTTGAGTCAAGTAAGTTATTATAGTTGTGTTTTAAAAATAAATTTTTTTACAAGTTCAACATGCGTGAATATGTATATTTGTTTATAGGGTTCATCTTTAAATGCTCAACTTATAAATACAATTTCAAATGTAGATGATTGATATAAAGAAAGTGGTATAAGTAGTTCATTGCAAATTGAGACATTTTTCTAGTGATGAATGGAAGAGACATTCGGGGTCACTATTTTCTTTATTTATTTAGCCTTGTTTATGGCACATTGAGACTTTTTGTGTATATTGGAGAGTACATCCTATTATTATTTATTATGAAATTGTTAATGACACATTAAGTTTATTTAAGTTTAGGCTTTTCCCCTTTTGAAAATTAAATTACATGATGTTTGCCATTCTTGGATTCCTTTCCCCTTTAAACGAGGTGGTCTCATGACGGCCATGCTCTTACTTTGGGTTTTCACGGGCATTTTTGCTAGCTATGCCTCAACCCGATTATTTAAGATGTTCAAAGGATCAAAATGGAAGAAAATTGCTCTCGGGATCGTAGTCATGTTCCCAAAGGTAATCCTCGCCGTTTTCTTTGGGGCCAAAAATCATCCGGGCTCGTGACATTTGGGACAATGTTTGCTTCGGTATTTTTATGGTTTGGAATTTCGGTTCCGCTAGTGTTTATTGGAAGCTATATTAGGTTAAAGAAGCCAGCAATTGAGGACCCTATGAAGACAAATAAAATTCCAAGACGGATCCTAGAGCGAGCTTGGTACATGAACCCAACCTTCTCAATTCTAATCGAAGGAATTCTTCCATTCGCAGTTGTTTTCAATAAGCTCTTCTTCATTCTCACCTCGATCCGGATGAATCGGTTCCACTACATCTTTGGTTTCCTGTTCCTTTTTTTGCAATCCTCATTGTCACTTGTGCTCGAAATAACCATTGTGCTTTGCTACTTCCGAGTTATGCAGTGAGGATTATCTCCGGTGGTGGAGATCTTACCATTTAGGTTTAATGGTATAAGGCAATGGACCACATGTGTAGTGGAGATTGAAATTGCACTCCGCATAATGAAACACGGATGATTTGTAGGAGATACCCCAACTGCTATACTCGGATCTCCATTTCGTATTCTCCAAGCACGGTAGGAGATGTTGGTGTCCGTTATAAGAAACAATAGGCATTATTGTAGCACATTCAATATGCAACTCAAAATAACAATGGGAACGGATGTAGGTAAACCTACCGAGAAATTTCAAACGGGCAAAGCATACGGATAAGACATTAGATGGCATATTTTGGAGAATTAAAGGATGGGATGGATGAAAATGGTGTCGGATTTCTTGTGGTGGCTCAAAGCGGGATTTGTGGAGGATAAAGCTCGCATTTGCCGCGGATAAATCCTTGGCTCGAAAGGCATTTATCGCAAGCAGAAGCGATAAACTCCATCACTATTCATTATGTCAATAAGCATCGGTGGATGCAGATGGCTAAAATGGGAAAAGTGTTCTCGATTTTGAAATTCTATTGTGGATGATAGAGCACACTCAACATCCATGTTGAAATTGCACCATTTGCGGTAGAAGTAGAAGCCCCGAATAATTTTGTTACAAGCTCCACATTTAACAAAATTTGCTTGAATTTTGTATAGGTGGAGAGGGCATCGATGAAAGAAGTGTCGAATTTCCAATGGCAAATCAAAACAAGGTCGGTGGAGGAAGTATTGGCATGTGGTACAACAATAAGTTAGACTCGAACAGGATTGTCCACACGCGAGCAATTAACTTGATCATCTTCGTTTTTTTGCTCACTCAATGTCAACGAGTGCTTGTGGTCGAAATGGTGAAATTGCTTTTTGGATTGAGCCATGTCATGATTTTGATGTTATATTTCTTTTATTCTACCCTTGTTTAAGAATTACTTCTTTTTAATATATAGATTATTGATCGACCCTGTGATGCTTCCATTTGATTTCCTTCTTTTTTTAGTGTTAGCTAGTTAAAATTCAAAAATGCATACGAGTAAATGAGGATGAAAACATGTCTTGTTGTGATTGGAGAAAATTAGAGAAATTTTTCGATCGATTAACTAGTTCGAGTTGAGCATGAATGATCCTAAAAATGATCTTACCAAGTTTTTGGTTGTGGTAGATAGCAACTTTGGTAATTAAGATGAAAATCAAACAAGATTAACAAAATAGAAAGTATAATTAGTCGGGATGTCAAATAGAAACTAATTCTCTTACCATATTACAAAAACAAAAGAACAAAAATTACAGCCACTACTTCCTAGGATGAGTGTCTCTAGGATCGACGAGTATCGGTAGCCACTTTACGACATCACAGTGCGCCGGCTTCGGGTTTTTCTTGGCATACAACATCGTATATCCTACAGCAGCAGTCGTCACGAACCCAATGAATCGCCATAGTAGTGGTGCTCGAAGGGTAGTTTGTGCTTCTAGTGATAAACCTCTCCGGGGTTGTTCTCCGGTGGCCTCTCTAGACTTTTGAAGAGGGCTGAAAGAAAATAATCAGCGAGTGTTGCCATGTTTGATGTGAAGGTTTGGGCGACGGAGGAAGGAGGAGTTGGGTAGCAAGCTATCGGAGAAAGAGAGAGACTGGGGATAAAGGAGAAGATGAAGGGTTTTTTTATTTATCCAGGTTTCTTTTATCCCACATGGAAAAAATTTTACACATGGCATACAATGAATGGAAGGGGTCCTTGTATGGTGTGGAATTTCGATACCTCGGATAATTTCTCCATAGTTTCTATAGAAAACCCTCAAAACCATCTCATTAAACCGTACTTCATAATTATTGGGGTTAAAGACCTCCGGATATCGAAGAAAGGTCAATATTTTAAATACAAAAAAATCTACAGAGTGGTAAGAATGAAACTCGTCGAAGGATTGTTACACATTATGTAAGATTAGAGGATGAGACCGAAAAATAATGCAATCAAAGTCATAACGGAATTGCTCTGTTGCTATATCCGGGATACGACAACCTTTTGCATCAAACTTATCCGCCCAAGTCGGGTCGAGAACTACGCACAATCTAGTCCTCGATGTCTAGAACCAACAACATATTGATCCATTCTTCAAGGCGAGACGGAGAGGAAGTAATCTCCGTGTTGAACCGTACTATTTCATAAAAAGTAATCCGATAATGATCGGAATCCATGTCATTGCTCGAAAGCTTAATCGAAGTTTATTGATATCCATGGTTGGAGATTTTGTGTTTTTGTCGTCTTTAATAGAAGAGAGGTGAAGGGTTGCCGAAGATATATTATGGGAGAGGAGAAAACAAAGATGATGTGATGATTTCTACCAACTATCACGACATATTTATTTATAGGTTATGAAACCCAAGAAAAAAATCCGTTTTAGACTCTAATTATTTACAACATCCTTTCATTAGTAGAATTCCTAATTAATTATCGAAAAAAACACTTTACGGATCCTCAAAGTCTAGTAGGACTCCTTTCACTCTAAGGAATCAACAAATGCTTAGTCAAATCATGTATCAATTGAATGGACAATGTAGCCTCTCAACCACTAATGTTCTCAATCGGATCCTCATAGTTTTTTTATTCCTCAATTGAATCCTTCCATTAACATCCATTAATCAATGCTATCGGATGATGTTAATCATATACATGTTTCCTATGTGCAACCCACGAACTTGGACCTCTTGAAAAACGAAGGGGTCATTTGCTATTATTGTTACTATCTCGTTTCTTTTTTCTTTTTTTCACCTAATTACAAATTACCTAATAGATAAATTTCTATTTCAATAAATTTCATATTTTTACATATTAAATCATAATAAAAAAATTAAATTATCCATCTCTTTACAATATTCATTTTAACAAATACTATATCACATACAACATTTTTGCTAAATTTGAGTCTACACATAGAACATTGTATCTTTTAACAAAATATCGGTTAAGGTTGATAAATGAAAAAAAAAACATTTATGTATATTTTTACTCACTTTACAAAGACGAAGAAGTGCCTATTTATAGGCAAATACGATTAGTTATTGTTGTTATAGCTCAACAAAGTGGAAACATCTAGAAGCAAGATGGTAGCCTCACGAGAGAGATGCTTCAACAAAAATAACAAACCGATTTTAAACTATTTTAAAAAAAAAAGAAGAGCTTTTGTAGGGAGGGAATCTTAGCCGTTTGAGTAATCGGGAAGAGAAGATGAAGGTTGGGCCGAGCTCCGAGTAGACCAAAATTGGACTATTTCCTTTCTTGGCCTAATTTGTCTTATGTGAGCCCATGTGTGGCTTTTTCATGTTGTAGCCCATTTATTTTGAATTTTGCTTTGGCTTCGTCATTTATCACACCCTCGCAAGCTGGA